TTTCTCCATGTTAGCCAGGCTGGTCTCAAACTCCTGATCTCATGATCCACCCACCTGGGCCTCCCAAAGTGCTGGTAGGAATTAGGCCACCACGCCCAGCCTTCTATCTTATTTAAAGCATCCTACACATTAGTTATTATGAAGCCTATTATTTACCACAGGACTCAACTATTTGAAGGATCTAACCCAAAAGAATCATGGCTAAAGCCTCTGCACAGCAGCAGGCAGCATCATACAAATCTCAGCAAAGTGCGTTTAACTTGCAGAACCCAATTCACATCCAGAATCCTAGCTACATGGGAGTCTGGAAGATGTAGTATTTTACTTTACAGCCTCTGCAGTCCAAAAAAGCACACCAGAAATAGTGGGGATGAATATCAAGTGGGAATTAATCTTATCTAGCATATTATATATTACAGTTTTTAGAACCTTCTTAAACCTTTGTCAAGTTGACAAATTGGTATGTTGTTTTAAATAACATTTATTTGATTATTGGTAAGGATGAGCTTTATGGGGTTTTTGTTTTGTTTTGTTTTTTTGAGGCAGGGTATCACTCTGTCCCCTGCCCTCCCTAGGCTGGAGTGCAGTGGTCATCACAACTCACTGCAGCCTCAACCTCCCAGGCTCAAGTGATCTTCCCAACTCAGCCTCCCAAGTAGCTAGGACTATAGGCATGCACCACCACACCTGGCTAATTTTTAGTTTAGTTTAGTTTTGTTTTTTTTGTAGAGGCAGGGTTTCTTCATGTTGCCCAGGCTGGTCTTGAACTCCTGAGGCTCAAACAGTTCGCCCACCTCGGCCTTCCAAAGTGCTGAGATTACAGGTGTGCACCATGGCATCTGGCTAATTTTTATTTTTATTTTTATTTCTGTGGAGATGGGGTCTTACCAGGTTGCCTAAGCTGGTCTGAAACTCCTGAGCTCAAGTGACCCAAAGTGCTGGGATTACAACCATGAGCTTCCATGCCCAGCCAGGATAAACTTTTAAAACCGTATGTACTGGCCTTTCATATTACTTCTTTTATAAATTGCCTTGTTCTACTTTTTATTCATTTTTCTTTAGGGATATTGTTCTTACATATATTTGTAAGAACTCTTTACACATTAAGGATATTAACCCATTAACCAAAGGCCTTTTTTTAAAATGTCAAATTTTGCCAGGAGCTAGCCCTAATTTGATTAATTCCACTGATGGTTCCTTGGTTTGGTATCTCCTGAATATTTACATGTTTGGCTTGTTCCGTAGATACTCAGATGTATAACTATAGTCATGCCTTTTTTCACACACCCCGCAGCAGAACCTGGTTTGCCTGTCAGGGAGATAAGATCACTAGAGAGCTATGCAGATGTCAAAGACAGACACACACCAGGTCTGGGGATCTAGAGATGAAAGCACAGATCCCAGAAAGTGGGCAGTCTCCCTTGTTCAAGAGTATGATGAAGGTCTAAACACCATGAGGTTAGTTAGCAAGATGAAGTGGAGGAATCAGATCCCAGATGACAAGATTCTGCTGTTCAGGAAGACATTTATAGTCACAGCACAAATTAACAAACACGTCTAAATGGCCTTGATCTTCTTTTATACTTCCTGCCTAGGTAGGAGATTGTGGTCTCAGGAGCTAGAACCACAGATATGAAGAAAATGGCTTTAGTTAGTTAAGAAAGTAGTATATAAAGTAGCAGCTGCATTTAAGTCCTCAACTGTTGTTATAGATATTTAATTTTGCCCCATGTTTTCTCAAATATACTTACTGCTTATCAAATATACTTCTGGCAGAGCTGCCTCTCATGACAGAGACTGAAAAACCAGATTCTTGCTTTCTCAGTTTCCCTTACAACTAGGAATGGCCTTGTCTTAGTCCATTCATGCTGCTACACCAAAATACCTCAGACTGGATAATTCATAACAAGAGAAACTTATTGCACACAGTTCTGGAGCCTGGGAAGTCCAAGATCAAGGTACCAGCAGATTCAGATGAAGTCGTGTTCTCAGCTTCATAGATGGTGCATTCTTGCTGCATCTTCACATGATGGAAGGAGTGAACAAGCTCCCTTGGGCCTCTTACAAAGGTACTAATCTAATTTATGAGGGCTCCACCCTCATGACTTAATCACCTCCTAAAGGTTCTACCTCTTAATATATTGCACTGAGGATTAGGTTTCAATTTATAAATTTTGAAGGGACACAAACATTCAGATTCTATTAGGCCACATGACACAGTTCTGACCAAGGAGAGGTAAGGAGAAGACTACTGGGAGATGTCTGAGGACATTTTTATTCTAGTTAAAAGGGTGAGTATGCATGAGGTTCCTACTCTTTCATTCATGTCTATTAGTATAGTTGTATGAGCACATGATTTCTTCAACCATGGCAACCATGCAAGCCTAGAGACCAAGAGCCAACACTGAAGGTAGAAAAGCAAAAGGATGAAAGAAGCCTGGTCAGTCATAGTATTTTTCAGCTGATGAACCAAAATAGGACCTCTACATTTCTTATTTTGTGAGAGAGTAAGAACTTTTATTGACGCTTTCAGTTTTTTGTTACCTGCTTCTGCATTTTGACACATTGAAAATATAAAATGATACAGAGCCTGTATCACTGTAAGTATATAAAATATGTTAGTGTGTGGGTAAGGACAGGATGGTATTGGTAGGGGCAGGAAGCAGGGAAATTCTAGGCAGAAAAGGGCAGGGTCCCTGGCGAAGCCTCACCCTCAAGCCTAGAACCACGGTCCAAAGTGAGACCATGCATTCCTATTTTCCCGCTCAAATGTTGCCTTTTCCAAAATCACCCATGACCTGCCTCACCCCCCATCCTGTACCCATTAAGTCCCCTGGCTCAACTGGCAGGGGGCAAAGAAGGAGAGAAGAGAAGAAGTAGCCAGACATTGGAAAGAAACAGCTTGACTTCAGAGGTGGGACTTGATGGTGGGACTTTGGAGAAGTGTCCAGCAGGGGACTGCTGGACTCCAGGGGAAGATCACCTTCCCACTCCATTCCCCTTCCAGCTCCCCATCCTGCTGACAGCCACTTTTATCAGCAATAAAATTCTCCACATTCATCGCCCTTCAATTTTTTCATGCAACCTAGTTTGCAAGGACTCAGGTATGGGTGCAAAAGGTTGTCACACTGACCCTCCACTGAGCTGTTAACACTTAAGCCATTCATGGACAGCAAAGCTAAAAGAGCACACTGTAACACACGCCCTCTGGGTCTTCAGGGGTTGCAGGCACCCCCCAGATGCTGCTGCAGGGCTGCACAGTTGTGCTCCTGCAAGCACCTGAAAGCACTCACTCTGGCTCCTGCACCTGCTCACTTGCATGCTCTCCCTCCTGTGAGGGATTGAGAGCTGAGGGCTGAGTAAGTGAGGCACCCCTGTTGCAAGGTCCATGAAGGGGTCAAGGAAAATTTCCTGTTTCAGTATGATGACTAATACCAAGACCAGAATGTTCTATAGAGAAGTGTTAGGGGAAAGGGAGAGCAGGGTCCCATTCCTGGGCATTCTGATTTAGTTGACTTGGGGTAGGAACCAAGCCTTGGTATTTAAAATTTTAATTTTATTTTACAGGTGGAGAAACGAAGGATCAAGCAGTGTGACTGGTAGAAACCATGTTATACAAGGTAAGCCAAGAGAGAATTGTGCAAAAATGTCTTCAGGGTCACTTCTTTCCCTAACTTGGTCCCTCAGAGTTCATTCCACTAGATATCCCGTGTGTTCAACCTAATTCCTATCTGCAATGGGCTTCCAAATATTCACCCCTATGGGCAGGGCTGTGTGTCATTTCCCTGGCCCCTATCTGGGTCAAAACTCTCATTCCTTCAGGGACTGCTGGACAACTAGCAAACTAATCTTCAGTGTGTTTTACCCAAGGTGTTAATGACAGATAATGGCCTAATGCATTACTCCTCTCAGCTAACATTTCCATTTTAATAGAGCCTTTAAATGCTTTAACCTGAAGGAAACAGCATGAAAAATGCAGGGATAGCAAATATCTGGCACCTTTGCTCCTTCCCTGTTCCTGGAAGACATCTTCAAATGGTCACTAAGGCTTTTCCTGCTATGCCTGGACATACCCTGAGAAGCCCATAGGGCCCTGGGCAGTCCCTACCAGCCAATGATGGGAGTTACCATGTAAGATGAAATCTATTTTCCAACCTTATCGTGAAACAAGTATTTGTCCAGGAGTAAAAAGACCTGAATTCTACTTTGGGGCTCTGACATTACCTGGACATAGGGCCTAAACAAATTTATTAGACATTTCCAAGTCTCAGTTTCCTTAGCCATAAAATGAGAGGACTGGCATTAGAATCAAGCATTTCCAAAGAATAGTTCTCGATCTGCCAGGGACTCTCAAAACCTGACCTCACAGCTCTCCAAGCTGCTTGCTGCTACCACGTACCTCTCCCCATTTTTGCCTTGCTTCCCACCGGGGAAGGAAATGCACTCCCAACTGGGCACCACATTTCTATCTCTATTTGGGGACCTTCCTGTCCCTGAAAGGCACTGGGAACATAATGTAAAGCAACTTTGGGGACAGCTGCTAAGAAGCCAAATCTTGTGACACTAGGAGTCCAGTCGCGTGGTTCAGAGTCCACAGCAACTTGTGTTGACTATGCAGTCATCAGCCAGAGGGGCAGAGCCTCTGTCTGGAGATGTGTCAGAAATAGGTGTGACTAGTCCCAGACACATCAAGTGGGGAAAAATCAGGTGTGCAGATTACGTTGTGTAAATGCCTTTCTAATTCTCAATGCTCCAGGAAGGAATCTCAGAGATTAAATTAAGCTGTTAACCCTCTAGGCGCTCCTGTCGTTTATTGTTAAGGAATTAATAGGAATGCGGGAATGCAGATGGCCTGGCTGTCAGCTCGGAGAGGCGATTTTTCTGATCTCCACGGACGTTTCCAGCATCTTTCATTAAGCACTCATGTACCAATTTGTCATTTTAACCGGGCAGGAAAGAAACTCCCACTCAACTCCCTACCTCAGGTGCTGGGAGTGCAATCATCCCAGGAGTCTTTCCGGGTTGCGGGTGCAGGGGAGGCGCCCAGGTGACGGGTGTGGGGTGCAGCGGGAAACGGATTCAAAGCCACTCCAGGAAGGAAATCGGATCCCAAAACCTGGTTGTCCTGGGCACAGGCTTCAGGTGACTGCAGAAGATCCCACTCTAGCAATCCTAAACCAAGCAGAGATGTGAAAACTTACTTCTTTCCGCTTTCTCGAGGCGCTCCAGGACGCAGGTGGCGCGCTCAATGCGGGGAGGCGCCACCTACAGGACAGAGGAAGACCAGCAGCTTGGGCTCGAGATTTCAACAGTCTGTGGCGCGGGCTGATGAGGACGGCCCCTCCTCCTCCTGGTGTAATAGTCCCTGACATTTATCGAATGCTCTTCTCGTGCCAGACACTGTCCTTAGCACCTGACATGTATTAATGATTTTAAACCTCACAACAACCCTATTAGGTAGGTGTTATTTTCATCTTCATTTTATGGAATAGAAAACCACAGCTCCAGGAGAGAGAGTGATTTACCCCAAGTCACCCAGTTAGGAAGTGGGAAGTGGAGACTCCCACCCTGAGTAGGCACTAAGGCGGGTGTGGTGGGATGGTTAGAGTCGGGTGCAACTCTACTCGTGGTTCACAGCATTCAACTCTATGTGTCCTCAATTCTGCAGCTTTGGTTTACCATTTTTTGAGACTTGCTTACTCGTCCGGAGAGGAAAACGTTGCTAAGGTGATCATAACCTTGTGTAATTTTTAAAGAGATGGAAAAAGACAAACATCGCATATTCTCACTTATTTGTGGGATCTAAGAAAACACTTGATCTCCTGGAGATGGTGGAAGGATGGTTACCAGAGGCTGGGTAGTGGGGGCCTGGGAGGGAGGTGGGATGGTTAATGGACAAAAGAAAAAAAACAGAAAAAACGAATAAGACCTAGTATTTGATAGCACAACAGGGGGACTATAGTCAATAATACTTTAATTGTACATTTTGAGACGACTAAGAGAATAACTGTATTGTTTGTAACACAAAGGATAAAAGCGTGAGGGGATGGATACCCATTTTCCATGATGTAATTCTTACACATTGCATGTCTGTACCAAAATATCTCATGTGCCTCATAAGTATATACACCTACTACGTAGACCACAATATTTTTGAAAAACCAAGGCAAAAAAGGGGACACAGTGGAGCAGGGATGCTAGAGATTGTATATCTCTCATCAGTTCATTTTTTCAGTTTATAGATGAGTATGAGAGAGGTAAGGGACCCAACCATGTGCACACTCTCAGTGACAGGGCAAGAACTGGAACCCCAATCTCCTCACTCCCAGCCCAGTGCTTTCCCCCCATGCTGCATTCATTCTTTAATCATCCATAGACAGGACGGGTTCTGTATATGGGATGGAAAGTAATCACATACAGTGTGGCTTCAGAGGCTCCAGGCCCACCCTCTGACCAAAATACCCATTTCCTTTTTTTTTTTTTTTTTTTTTTTTTTTTGAGACAGGTTTTGCTCTGTTGCCAGGCTGGAGTACAGTGATGCAATCTTGGCTCACTGCAACCTCCACCTCTGGGTTCAAGCAATTCTTCTGCCTCAGCCTCCTGAATAGCAGGGATTACAGGCATACTCCACCACACACAGTTAATTTTTGTATTTTTAGTAGAGATGGGGTTTCGCCATGTTGACCAGGCTGGTCTCAAACTCTTGGCCTCTAGCGATCCGCCTGTCTTGGCCTCCCAAAGTTCTTGGATTATAAGTGTGAACCACCATGCCCAGCCCAAAACATACTTTATAAAAAAAACCCTGGTGGCTGTTGCCTAAAATTCCACCATTAGTGACTCATTTTATTCTCTAAGATTTTGATCCTATCCACTTAGGACCAGTAAGGCTTTTGACTGTACGGGTCGGAGTTAGCTCAAGCGGTTACCTCCTCATGCCGGACTTTCTGACTGTTGGCCATCGTTTCATGTGTATGTAATTGAGTTCTAAAGCAGTGCTACTCAAAGTGTGGTCCACAGGCAGCAGCATCAGTGTAATCTGCATGCTTATTAGAAACACAAGTCATGGCTTTCACCCAGACCTACTGAGTCAGAATTGCCGTAGTTTTCAAACTTCTGTGTATGTGCTTAAGTTCTCACCTGAAGAGCTTATGAAAACACAGTTTTCTGAGACAACTGTTCCCCACCTCAAACCCAGAGATCCTAATTCAGCAAGTCTGGGGAATGCACGCCAAAATTTGCATTTCTAACAGGTTCTCAGGTGATGCACCTGAGACCAGGTACTGCTGGTCTGGGAACTACACTTTCAGTAGGACCTAAGGAGTTCCTGATAACAGATATTGGGGAGGGAGAAAAGGGAGAATGAGCACGCTGAGGTAGGAGAAGGAAAGGTTATCACCAAGGGTGCAAAGGGTACAGAATATGAAGCCTTGGAGTCAAAAACCGCTGAGGGTGTGAGTGCACAATCACGTCTTTCCATTTGAATACTTTCAAATATTAAGATCCTTAAGTGATTCAATACCATGCATGCATGTTTGTTAGCTGAATTTACCTAGCCTATGGTAAAATCTGCTCTTGCATCACCTTTTGCTGAGCCTGCCTGTCTCAGTTACAAATGAAAATCTTCCCAGTCCCCTCTGACCATCAGTTAGCTTTCCAATTTCATTCCAGAGTTAACTGCGCTGTAGCAGCAGACAAAACTGGCCCGATGGCAGGAATACTGTTCCCCGATGGTATCAGAGCCATCTGTATTTATGTTTGCTGTGTGACTGTCACTTGTATACAATCACGCAGAGACTCTGATATTAAGACTTAGCCTGGAAATCACCCCCATGGCACAGCTCTGGTGGAAAAGAAAAGGGGCTTCAGTGGCAACCAGATATCAAACACAAATTACATTGCCCTTGTACCAAAATAGGCATCTTTAAGAAATCATGTCTTCTGGTCTTCCTTTGCTATACTTCAAGTAATATGGTACCCAGAGGAACCCAGAGAGATAACAACCTCTTCTATTTGTAAAGACCACTTGTGAAGGAAACTCCATAACCTCCCTGTGGTGGAGTGTATTATTGCTCAGCAAACATTCATTCTCCTCTACTCCCCTCCATGGGGGGAGCAAATTTCCCCACTCCATTGATGATAGGTCTAGCCATGTGACTTTTTTTGGCCAATGGAATGTAAACAGAGGCTTTAACTCTACTTGCTTGGTTAAGCTTGGTTTCTTGCACCTCTACCCTTTGCCACGAGAAGAGCATGCCGTTGTCACTTCAGCCTGAGCCCCAGAATGAGAAGTTACATGGAGCAGACCTGAACAAGATTCACAACCTGGAACAGAATCACTGCAGCCGATCCACAAACCTGTGAGCAAAAAATAAATGTTATAAATCTCTGAGATTTTAGATTATTTGTTATGCAGCACTATTTTAGTAAAGTTGATACACTCCCTCAGGTACCTGTTCCACTGAACTTTTGCTGCAAAGTTCTTCATTGTGTCTAACCTAAATCCCTCATACATTAATGCAAAGATCTATCTCATTTGTGGTCCAAATGAGGAATCACTAGATTATATTCTTGATTCTAAATGTCCAAATCTAGCTTGAATTGTTTAATATACATTTAGATGAATAAAACAGAGGTACATTCAGGGAATTATTTGTATTTACAAAGTATCATTTATGCTTTTCCTTATTGGAGCTATTAAAAGGTGGGTCCTTAAGAAGTGATCATCTTCAGGAACCAGAAAAGTAGCAAAGGGAGAGATGAGAATTTGGAAGCCTAATTAAAATATTATAGAACTGGGCCAGGCACGGTGGCTCATGCCTGTAATCCCAGCACTTTGGGAGGCTGAGGCAGGCAGATCATGAGGTCAGGAGTTCGAGACCACCCTGGCCAACATGGTGAAACCCTGTCTCTACTAAAAATACAAAAAATTAGCTGGGTGTGGTGGCGTGCACCTGTAATCCCAGCTACTTGGGAGGCTGAGGCAGGAGAATCTCTTGAACCCAGGAGGTGGAGGTTGCAGTGAGCCAAGATCGCACCATTGCATTCCAGCCTGGGTAACAGCAAGATTCAGCCTCACGGGAAAAAAAAAATTATAGAACTGACTTATTTTCTCTTAGCTTTCTTTCCTAGCAGTTTATAAATTATTTATTTCCTAGCAGTTTGCAATTATTTTATTTGCCTATTTTCTTTCTGTTTATTTGTCTGTCTCCCCCATTAGAAAGTGTTTCCATAAAGGCAGGAACAATGTTTGTCATGTTCACAACTTTATCCTCCAGTACTCAGCAAACTCTGGCATGTAGCAGTCACCAAAAAAAAAAAAAAAAAAAAAGAAAGAAAAAAAAATTTCAGTAGAGACAGGGTTTCACCATGTTGGCCAGGCTGGTCTCAAACTCCTGATTTCAGGTGATTCACCCTTCTCAGTGGGTGCTGGGATTACAGGCGTGAGCCACTGTGCCTGGCCAAAAAAATTTTGTTAAATAAATTCTTTCTAATAAGGCATGCCACTAGACCAGGTAAGGGGGAAATAGTGAAAACCAGATAGGATTTACAGTCTAAACATCTGGCTTCCACACTATGTGATCTTAAGTAGTTCCATGGTGTCTTACTCTGTTCCAGCTGCTGCAACAAAATACCATAGACTGGGTGGCTTATAAACAACAGAAATTTATTTCTTACAATTCTGAAGGCTGGGAAGTCCAAGATCAAGGGGCTAGCAGATTTGGTGGCTGGCAAAAGCCTACTTCTTCACAGGTGATGCCTTCTTGCTGTGTCCTTACATGGTGGGAAAAGCAAGCTAACTCTCTGGGACCACCTCTTTTATGAGGGCACTAATCCCATTCACGAGGTCTCTACCATTAGGACCTAATCCCCTCCCGAAGGTCCCACCTCCTAATACCATCACCTTGGGGACTAGGATTTTAGTGTATGAATTTGGGGGAAACATAAAGATTCACTCCATTGTAAATGGGCACCTAATTATGAAAAACTTTGAATCATAATAATACTCAGTCAATGAAGAGCCACTGAGGAATTTTGAGCTGCGGAAGGACTAATCAAGACAGCATCTTGATAGCTGGGCATGTAATCTCAGCTACTCAGGAGGCTGAGGCAGAAGAGTCACTTGAACCTGGGAGGTGAACGTTGCAGGGAGCCGAGATTGTGCCACTGTACTCCAGCCTGGGCTACAGAGCAGGACTCCGTGTCAAAAAAAAAAAAAAAAAAGACAGGCTTGAGATGATGTATGTGATTGCTGTGTTCAGAGATGGTTTAGCAGAGAGAGGGAACAGTTAGAAGGTAATTTCAAAGTGAAGGAATAAGGGCCTAAAGTGTAGGGTGGCAGTGGAGGTGAAAAGGAATGAGATTGGGATGGATGGAAGATTCAATAGTTCTATCACCTAATGGGAAAAGGAGGCAGAAGAGAGAGAGTGCCTAAGGAAGGTCCATGATTTTATACCTGTATAGCTGAAATGATAGAAGTGCTCTTAATAGATATATGGAAGTTGGAGAAGAGGCCAGCTGTGTTTGGGAGAAATGATAATGTATTTTAGACGATAGAATTTAGACAATGGCTGGTTATCAAGCGAAAATGCCTAACCCTTAGGTAGAAATTCAGGACTAGGCCAGGCACAGTGGCTCACGCCTATAGTCCCAGCACTTTGGGCGGCCAAGTGGGGTGGATTGCTTGAGTCCAGAAGTTCAAGACCAATCTGGGAAACACAGCAAAACCCAGTCTTTACTAAAAATACAAAAACTTAGCTAGGCATGGTGGTGCACACATGTAATCCCAGGTACTTGGGAGGCTGAGGTGAGAGAATCACCTGAGCCCAGGAGGTCAAGGCTGCAGTGAGCTGAAGTCACAGCACTGCACTCCAGTCTAGGGGATCAGAGTGAGACCTTGTCTCAAAAGAAGAAATAAAAGAAAGAAAGAAATTCAGGACTACACCTTCAGAAAGAAGTCAGAACAGAAAACCACTTGTGGTCATTGGACTCCTGGAGGTGACAGGTATAGGAAGAGAAAAGCCAGAGACTGAAGCCAGTCTTGTACACTGCCTAGTTAGCAAGGGCAGGTGGGGGAAACGTGGCTGGTGAAAGGGATGGAGAAACAAAATCAGCAGAGGGTCTCAGAAGCCAAGAAAAGGGAGAATTTTGTGGGCTTTTTTGTTTGTTGTTTTATTTTTTTGGTTTTATTATTTGTTGTTTTATTTTTTGGCTTTTGTTTGTCTGCTGGGATTACAGGCATGAGCCGCTGCGCCTGGCCGGAAAGGGAGAATTTTGATGTCCAGCTCTGTCTCCTCTGCAACCAGCATTGGCTGTCAGACTTCTTAGGGAGCTCTCCTGTAGGAGCAGAGCGTAACATCCTTTAACCAGGCTGACTTGTCTCTAACCACCTGGGTGGCTGAGGGGGTCCCAAGGCTTTGTGAGCCTTTGAAAGAAAAATCCAGGGGAGGGAAAATGGAGAAATGTAATCAATAACAACAAGCCTTGTTTTTTCCACTTCATATGCTGGAAGCAGTCAGGGCTGTAGCTGCTGCTATGCTGGGCATACTCTGGATATTCAAAAGGTCATCTGGCATAGAGACAGGCTAAATTATGGCTGGAGTATATGAATCTGAGGAGGTTCTCCATTAACATTTATTAGGAATTGTCATCACTTCAACTCAAATGGGCCCCAGATGTGGAAACCCCGGCTGCCCCAGACTTCTCTTCTGGGCTGCAATCTCTCCTCTGATTTATTGTTATTAAACATGACCAGATTTTGTAGAGGGGAAAATTGAAGAAAGCAACACACACATGGGGAACCGTTGGGTGGAGGCTGCCAAGAGAAACAAACCATTTTATAATTTCTGGTGGCAGTGGGAACACATGGAGATGAGAGCTATTGTTATGAGACTCCATAGAGCCTATTTCCTAAAAAAGACACAGATCTCAACTTCCAGGCAGTCTGTTCCAAGGGCAAATGTCCTAACCCTGAGGATGAGAGAGGGGCAATTGAAGATAATGAGAAAGGCTAAGAGTAGAGAGTTAGTGCTTAGAATTCAGGAAGCCATGGCAGGGATCCTCTTCCTTAAAATATACGACCTTACAGGGTGGATGGTTTCCTGGGGGGTCATCACACCCCCACTGGATGTTAGGTCATTATACTTACCAATAATGTTTACTCTCCAATTGTGTAAAAATTGCAAGGGATACCAAGAAGGCAAAATTAGAGTCCCACCTCTGGTAATCTATTTCATGTCTTTACTCAACATAATTTTATGAAGCACATCCCAGGTATCAGGCACTACTCAAAGTGTTGAGTGAATATTAGTAAATGAAAGAGACAAAGTCTATGTTCTCTGAGCACTCACAAATCTGTAGGGGACAAACTCAGGAAGTAATTGAAAATTAGCTACTAGACAAAAGTGTATAAAAGGAAGGCAGTTTCAAGAAAGACACTGTGTTAAGAGTCAGAACACCTGAACTCCAGTCCTGGCTCTACCACCTAAGAGTCTTATGGCTTTAGATGAGTTGGTACATTATTTAACTTTTGTGACCCTTGATTGTTTTTTGAGTTTTTTTGTTTTGTTTTGTTTTTGTTTCTGTTTTGAGACAGGGTCTCGCTCTGTCACTGACGCTGGAGTGCAATGGTGAGATCATGGCTCATTACAGCCTTAACCTCCCAGGCTCAAATGACTCTCCCACTTCAGCCTCCCAAGTAACTGGGACTGCACGGGCATGCCATCATTCGGGCTAATTTTCATATTTTTTATAGAGACGAGGGTCTCACTATGTTACCCAGCCTGGTCTCAAACTCCTAACCTCAAGTGATCCTCCCACCTCAGCCTTGCAAAGTGCTGGGATTACATGCATAAGCCACTGCACCCGGCCAAACATGAGCTTCTTGTTTGCAAAATAGTAATAAACCTGCCTTAACTGATCTCACGGGTTTGTGTAAAAATTAAATGTGGTAATGTAATCAAAGAGTTCCTTATAAACTAAATTGCTATATGGCGTCAGGTTTGTAAGTGCCAAATAAGTGGAATGGTGAGTGTTATGGGATGGTTCATTTGCTTGCCGGGAACCTGGGGACACATCCTCTTCTGCTTTCTTTCAGGAAAAGGGGCAAGTCGGACTATTCCCAGGCCACCAGACACATGCCCCTTGGGGAGTCTTTTACTAGTAGAGTCTGAATATCTGGTGCTGACTTCACTAACAAGCTGTCCCTAGGAAGCCCTCACTTACTGTGGCTCCTGTTGTTAGAACTGTGCATGGAAATTATCCCATGTGGGAACTACGGTAAGTGAACATAGATAATGAGAAAAGTCTCAGAAGCGTTACATCTAATTATTGTTCTTGCATTGTCCTCCTTTCAGAAAATTGTCAACATTCCTGGCTAGGCATGGTGACTCA